TATTTTATAAAACTAGCAATTGTGCTTAAATAGCAATTGCTAAATTCCATTTTGCTTTTATCTCTTTTAATGTAGAACTAAGGACTGAAGTAAGAAGATTCACTGATTGTCACTCTGAAATCTTATTGACATATTGACACAATAAATGTTAGGGGTACCCATATTGAGTTTTCTCCATAATAAATACTAGGACTGAACTAGGTGAATGTGTCAGCAAGTTTTCAAGGTTGCAGGTCTTAAATCAGAATGTGTTACCACAGAGATGAGCACCTCTAAATATTATTGTATCTTCCCATTCATCAGGATATAAAACTTATGCTCACTATTTCTGGTAACCAGATAAAGGTAGAATTGATGTTATTTGAACAAGTCACCGTCAGTAACTCAGTGTCAAATATATAATCAAGTGAAGCATTAATAAATGTGAAAATTGAATTATTAGATGGAATATTGAAAGATAAGGCTTCATGGTCTGCAGGTTTTTAGGTTCTTGCTTTCTGCTTTTGTGCAGAGGATATATGGATATTCTCACTTACTGCACAGCACAAAATTCACAAAACAAAATTTTTTTTCCATTGACAGGTGTCTGATTAAAATAGCTTCATTTATTGTCTTTCAGAAAGATTTTGTGTCTCTTTATTTATCCTTTGGAAAAGCAAAATAAACAGTAGCTATACTTACTACTGCTAAACACTAGTTATAAAATGCAGCCATATAATTTTATATATTATTTGAATATATTTCTTAAATGATGCTGAAGTTGGAATCTTAGATGTTCTGTCAGCCGTATGTCAAGATACAACATGACATATGTTGTGAGACTGCTTCATTCAGAATCTAAATTTGGATCGTAATTGACAGTATGCTATATTAATTTTAGAAGTTTTTTTTTTTTTTCATAAAACCTGATGCATCTTGCTCTGTATCCTGATAGAGCATAGGAAGATAATAGTGTCACAGCTGTTTCCTACCGCAGACAGAGTTTTCAGGAATTCATGCTTCTTAGTGGAAGAAAATAAAGACTATCAGGTACCTGGATTTTTGGAAGGTGTGTTTTTAGACTTACTCTTATCAGAAGAAGCTGTTGTACAGAAATAAAATTCTAATCAAATACAATGATGCATATATAGTTTTGTGAACACATATCTTAAAGAGATTTGTCTCTGTGCAATCATATCTTATTTAAAAAATATAAATGGCTTCCTAGAAGAGTATGACATATAACACAGGCACTCATACATTGTGTCATTGGTGTTTTTCTTTTTGTCGATTCTGGGGATTGAACCCATGGCCTGTGTACTCCGCGCAAGTGCTATACCACCAAACTACATCCCAACCCTTGTTGGTGATATTTAATAATTACATTATTCAAACTAGTAAGTGAAGCACCAAATGAGCAATTGAACACATTATTTAAAATGTATATTCCTACAGAGTACTGTAGTTTTATGTACTTATCTAAATCATTTAGTTACCTAAATGTATTGACAATTATTCCAAAAGAATGAAAGATAGGATTTTTTTTTTTCTACCTTGGTAAAAATTTACTTGGAAATGTTGGGTACTCTGGTGCTACCACTTAATTTTTTTTTTAATGTTTCAGTAAGTCCTATTTTAAACACAGTGTTTTATTTGTGTTTTTTTTTTCAAGAGAAACAAACCTTCCATTGTTGAAGTTATTTTCTAGTACATCTATATTGATAATTTCATGGTACACCATTCCAAAAGAATACTCTAATTTTAAATTCTCTGTTTATAATGCCTAAAATGTAATCATCAAAACTAGCAATATTTTCTTCCTTAAAAAATTTGAACACTGTTTCACATTAAAATGATCTATTTTAATCTTTTAAAAGATGATATTCAACTCTAGAATATTTGGAATCTGAGGGAAATTTGCGAAACTATATTGGTGCCTGTCTGTGTAAGCTGTACCAAATCCTTCCATCACTTGGCCAATGCAAATGTACATGGACATGTTCAGAAAAGTTTAAGAGACCCCACTCATAGTCAGGTGTAAAGGGTAATATTTTCCAACAGAAAAAGATGTGAAGAATCTTCTTTTTAAACCATCTCTGATGTTTCCCTAAGCAATATGCATACCATTAATAGGACTCTCTCTCTCTCTCTCTCTCTCTCTCTCTCTCTCTCTCTCTGTCTCATACACACACACACACACACACACACACACATTTGTGTTACCTTCATTTGGTTAATTGCAAATGGCATATTTCTGGTGCACATATTTCAGAATACTGCCACATAGCTGTCCTTACAAAGAATAAAATAGAGCAGTGGACAATGGACATGGGATTGTGCTTTCCTACATGAATATCTCACATATGTAAAGCAGCATGTTCTGGGATCCAAGTAAGTCCACAGTGTATTTCTAAGATATTTAGTCAGGAGCTACCATACCGAGGAGCAAATACAGACACGTGGTTAGTCAGAAAAGATCTAGAATTCACTTCAGTTTTCTCCTAATCATATTTACATAGCACTCCATCCTCCAGTCCCAAAACCTGCAATGAGGACCTTTGTCAGAGAGTTTCTAAATTTACTGTAAAAGTCAAATTTGCCTCATTTAAATCTTACATCAAGATATTATTATTCTCCAAAATGTGTTTGTTCAGACTATGATAATCTGCTGGTGGCCTGAATCAGATGCTATAGATTATAACCTATATTTTTAGTGCAAATTCTCCTTTTATTTTGTTTAACAGAATTTGTGTAGCTGCAAAGTTGCCCCTCTCAGCCAAGGGTAATCACTTACTGGGATTAAACTCACATACGAATTATGAACTAAAAAAAAAAAACTACTAATAATTAAACAGGTGAGTCAGTAAACAGAAAAAGGCAGGCAAAACCAAACGAGATCCCTTTACCTGTTAACTTACATCTCTCTTTTCTATACTTGCCCTTGATACCATTGTAGATATCTTCTGTGTGTGCGTGCGTGCATGTGTGTGTGATTTCTGCAGCTTAGAAATACTGTATTAAGAATTTTCAATACTAAATAAACCAATAAATGACAGCCAACGTGTTTTTCTTTTTTTCTTTCTTTCTTTTCTTGGATCTTCTCCACAGTTAAAGCAAATCTGAATTACATTTCTGACAAAGGGAGGGAGGAGATAAAAAAAAATGTCAGAGAATGAGTGATCGAAAAATAGAATCACGACATTTGTACGCTCCCATTCATTTGCTATCCCTTCCTCCATTTCTCTGACCTACTTTGCTGGTAATGATTGGTTTTTCACACCTGGAGACCACAAAACCCTGGCGTGAGATCCCGCCTGCAGAATTAAGTGTGAGTATCCAAGCTCTTCATCCATTAGGAGCTGAAGCTTTCTTCAGCTTTGTCGATCCTTGTTTCACCATCAGGGTGGCTAATTTCAAGGCCAGTGATGAGATTTTTTTATATAGTAATTTTGTTTCACATAGATGAGACAGAATCACACACATAATATATTAAAATATCAGGAGGGGACTGAGGTGTACAACCAGCAATTTCCCTTTCTTACTTGGAAGTTTGTATATGTTTTCTTATCACAAATTTCCCTAGTTCCTTAAAAAGCACCCTTAATAAATTATATTTGTATTAGTATTGCTATCTACTAGTATGTATTTGTCCTTCAGAGCAAATCTATATTCATACTTCATTGAAGCTAAGCAATCAGCTTATGGAAGAAGAAATTCAACCCTTTCAAAAGGATGGAATGAACCACATGAGGGTGTTTCTGTAATAGCATAACCTGATTTTCTGAATTTTCAGAGTCCTAATATATAGCTTTCTACCTAGCAGAAATTAGAGCTGACACCCAGCAATAAACTGAGATTTTTTTTCTTGTCTTTCTATATAGATTGGGAATGAGTCAAGGACAGGAACCAAGTCTTATCATTTGTGTACCCACAATACCCAAATTATTATTTAGCACATAGTAGGTCTTTAATAATTATTGTCAAATTGAACTGAATTTGCTAACACTCAGAATCAAACAATTTGTTTTCAACAGCAGATAAGGTAGAATACTTCTACCTTTTTATGATCATATTTCCTCTGGTCAGTGGAATTTTATTTAGGAGACAATAAATAAATTATAGTGATACTTCCTTCCAAGAGGAATTGAATTTATATCACAAAATCAGTTTTTGAAATCTGAGCATTCTATAAAGGGTAATTCTAATCAGAAGGAAAAAAATACCACAACATCCTTGGATATTGATCTGAAGTTCAAGTTAACTACTGAAGCAGGATCCTGTAGAGATTGACACTGGGACTAAACAATACTCCAGTATTTTCTTTCTTAGAAAGTAGGAAATCTAGTTAACCTTCATGTTTCTCACATTTGAGCCATACTACAAATGAGTTGTGTCCAGGTTACAGAAAAACCAACAATATTTTATTTATAATCTTATTTTAAGCTTTTGAACTACAAATTCTGGTTCTAGAGTTGTTTAAAAGTCATGGGTTTTATAGATGCTCATATGTAAATTAATCTGTTGTTTGTTTACTTTGTTTTACTTTTCTTTTCCATAGAATGGTCCTCCTCATAAATACAGAACAGATTATTACATGAAAAATATAAGATCTTGCATTTCTTTCTTGTTCTTTTTTAAAAATCTATTTCTAATATTGCATTCCCCATTGGACTACTTCATAAGGGTATGAGGGAAAAAGAAAAAAAGAAAATAAAAGAGAGCGAGCGAGAGAGACAAAATAGACTGGATCTCACCACTAGAATTCACCATAAAAATCTCAAAGTGTAACAGAATTCTTACAAAATTTCCTAGACCAGTTCTTTAGGGAATTGAGATCTATGAAAAATATGGCAATCGGGGAAGGGAGGGACGAGATGTGGGAAAATAGTAAATAACTGCAGCAAAAACAGGTTCTGAGGAATACACATCATTTTGTCTGCTTTAGATCACAATAGAATTTTTAATAAATAAATTTCTTTTTTGTTTTTTTTTGTAAAGACACTTTTTTGAAACAGTAGATTTAGCCCAGTCATTTGTGTCATTTTTAATAAACTGTCTCTTTTTTTTTTTTGATTGTTTGTTTTCTGTAACTCTGTAAATGTTTTAGATTTGAGTCTCTTGTACATTGTCTTTAGAGTTCATTCGGATCAATAACGGTTCATGCACTGAACTGTGTATTGAATTTATTGTGTTCACTGTTGTTGTGTGGTTGAAGGGAGATTTGTAAGAATTATAGTGGTTTAGGTGCTCATGCTCGATAGCAGGCATGGGCAGGTGGCTTTCCATGGGTGTGTCCCCTGTGATCTCATCATCCACATTAATGATTTCAACAGTCCTTGTCGGAGCATGATGGTTTTGCCTATGGTGCTGCTTTCTCATCTTGTAGAAGATGACCAGCATCACTGCCGCCATGAGTGTGATGGCCACGAAACACCCAATGATGATTTTGGTAGTCTTCATGACCTCATCGATTCCTGGGATCCCACTGTTGATATCAGTCACTGGGATGGTGAATGTTTTTTCTGTTGACCTTGTGCTCTGTGGCATGAGAGAGGTGGTCACATTAGTGGTCTCCCAATCAATCACTGGAGTGGGGCCCACATTGTTGTCTGTGGTCCGTGCCTCATCCTGAGAAGGTTCCATTGTCTCTACTGTGACAGTTGAAAAGTAAGAGAAGGGAGTAGTGGTTGCTGCAGTAACATTCAGGGTGGCTGAAGCAGTAGTGTTCCCAACAGAATTACTCACCATACACGTATACATGCCTGTATCTTGAACGGTTACATTCGTGAAATTTAATGTACCGTCACTGAGCACAGCTATCCGTACTTTGTACGCCCCGTGTGTCATGACTGTTCCATTTGGAGTAATCCAAGACACGGACGTCAGGGACGTGGAGGCCCGACACTTTAGCTCAGCTGCCATGCCTTCAGTGACATTGAGGTCTGCAGGGGGCTCCACAATCACAGGAGCATAGCATGTGAAATAATTCTGGTCGAGCTCCCCAATGTACCTCCCTTTCAGATTGGGAGGAGTATTACACCGGGCGCAGCAAGCTGTGTTGGAGGGGGCCATGTCTTTTATCCACCAGCTGAGCCACAGTATGTCACAGTTACAGTTCCAAGGGTTGTGATGTAAGTGTATCCTCTCTAGATGATGCAAGGGTGTAAAGAGGTCATGAGGCAGTAATGTGAGATTGTTGTGGGCCAGGTTGATCTCCACTAGGGACTGAAGGTTATCAAAGGCATTCCGTTCAATCACTTGAATCTGGGACTGTATCATCCACAGTTTTTGAAGGTGCATCAATCCCTGGAAAGAGCCAGGCCTGATTGCGGACAAGTGATTCCCAGAAAGATCTAGCTCATCCAGTTTTATGAGCGGTGTGAGGTTAGGGATTTCCCGGAGGTTGCACATGGCCAGGTTCAAATACCTCAAGTTGGACAGACCTTCAAAGGCACCTTCTGAGATATATGAAAGCCTTTTCAATTCCCCTAAGTCTAGTCGCCGCAAGGAAGGGATTCTGTTAAAAGCATAAGAAGGGATGCTTTCAATGGGGTTGTTTCGCAACCAGAGCTCCTTCAGTTTAGACAAATATACAAAAGCTCCATTCGGGATGGTAGTAAGACGATTGTCAAAGAGTTCCAGAGTGTTGAGGTTCGCCAGACCATTGAAGGCCCCAATTTCAATGGTTCTAATATGGTTCCTACTCAATTGGAGGATTTCCAAGTGCCTCAAGTGCTTGAAGCTGTTCACTTTGATGATCTGGATTTGGTTCTCATGAAGGTTCAGCAGCCGCGTGTTGGTGGAGATGCCATCTGGAACCTCACGCAGGTTTTTACGAACACAAATCACCTTGCTGAACTGGTTGCTGCAGGAGCACACGGAAGGGCAGGTTTGAGCCCGCACCAGACCAGCCACCACAAGAAGTTGAAGAGCCAGCAGCACCACAAGCAGGGGGTCAAATAGGGCCCTGTTAAACCTAGGACCTATCATTATCTGCTGTGGATGTAAGGTCATCTTGTTCAACATTCATAATTTATCTGGTGTTGGTCCGTCTGGAGTTCAAACAATCTGAAAAAGAAGGAAAAAAGGGGTATTAGAGCTTCAGTAGGTGAGTTTCTGGAGAATGTTAGTGATACAGTATATCAGCTGATACCATTATTTGCCATATTGAAAGAGACAACAAATCTAATGTCCCTTATTGAGCTTTGTGGCCCATTATTCACGGGAAATATCTCTGCCTTCCAAATTAACAACCGTCCATAGCCGGCATTCTATCAGAAGTACAATCACAGAGAAATGGACCAATGATGGGAAGAGCCCTAATACAGTGCTCATCAACTGAGTGTGACCTAAGCTCATAAAAAAAGATGTGTTGAATTTTACAGTTAGTTTCAGTGTCCATGACAGATTGGAAAAAAATAGGATTTGGGGGTTATACCCTGCCAAAAATTAGTAAAGACTGATTTTTCATGGGAAGTCATTGTATATGCCAGGCACCATGGGCTATAGAATTAAAAAATAACTTTATCCAGTAGTGGCTACATAATTCATGGGCCCCAGTGTAAAATTAGAATGTGGGTGTGTTGTTTAAAACTTATAAAGAATTTAGAATCAGTGATAGCAGACCATTAACCCAAATAGGCCCTTCTAAACATGGGTTACCTTGTATTGGGGGATAATATCAGTTGTAGGTACTGGCATCTTAATTTAAGGTACCTTTGAAGATGTACTGAAATAGTGACGTGTATACATGTACATAAATTTCGTGAGATTTTCACATCCATAACTCATTATTATATAGGTAACTACTACCTCTAGGCAAACAAATCACATATTAAATCATTTCTAAAGCGGTATAATTTTTATTTTCAGGAAAAATTTTGTATAACAGGACTATTGTGCCTTATGTCTCTACTCTTACTGATTTGTAGATACAGCAACTCACTTTATTTCTTTCTGCTAGCAAAAGGAAGACTTCTAAAACAATATGTGTTTTCTAGTATAGTCCTCACCCAACTAGATTATCATGGACTGGGTAGTTTGTTTCCCCCCTAATTTCTCATCTCAATATGCATTGTTTCTTCTATAAATCTTTTAGAAAGAAAAAAGAGAGGGAGAGCTCACCACATTCTAGCAAAAATGCAATAATTTAGAACCTACTTTGTATCACCTTGGGCAAGTTACTAGTCCTTTCTCTTCTTCAATCTCCTCTTCTAATTTGCAAAAATAGAATGACAATTATACAGCCCTTAAGTGTATGAGAATAATAAAATGAGTTGATGCACATAAGGAACTTAGAGTAACACCTCCCACATTGTCGGAACTCAATAAATGTTAGTTGTTGTTATCATCATCATCATATTTATCATATCAAATAGTTTGCTAAGGACGGGTCATGTAAAGATAAAGAATATAACCCTAACCCCCAAAGGGCTTTTAGTTCAAAGGGTGAGGCAGACGGGCAAACATATAATATACAGTATTATGTGTTTCTTTCTATGCAACAAGCCACATTGGCACAAGGGCACTAATGTCAGAGTAAATTAACCCAAACTGAGAAATCAGTGTGTTTTAAAGAGGAAATTCAGCTACTCTTGGTTTTTCGGAGGCTGGGAAGAAAGTAAAGATGGGTATTTTAATCAGAAAAATCAACCTGAGTCAAGACAGAGACACATAACAAATGCTAGTATATCCAGGGAATAGGAAACATGTCCTCCTCAATAGAACAGAAGGATTGGAAAAGAGAGTGATAAAGGAAATGGAGATGAGATTGGGTCTAGATGTTGAGAGCTGGTCCCTTCAAACTTAAGAGTCCCCATTTCATCCTGCAGGCATTTGTTTCTAGAAAAGAAGGCAGCTCTCAGCTTTGTTCTGAAGAATAATAATGTTGGATTAATATGGGAGAGAGTAACTCTTTGGAAGGAACTACCAGCAAGAATTACTAGGAAGATCTCCCAGTTGTTTAAAGTAAGCCTTGGAAAGAAGCCAAGGACAGAAAAAGGTCCTGATCCATGGTCATCACTTCCATGTCCTCCCCTGGACATGAAGGGCTTTAGAAAAAAGGGCTATCTCCTCTTTAGGACCTAATCTTTCTCTTCTGGTGAGATTCACAATGTAAATGAACAGTTGTGAATAGCTACATTTCCATAACTTACACAAGATGCAGAAGTGGCTCTTTCCAATAATAGGAGATGTCCTCCACAGGAAAAGCAGCTGTCGTTAGCAATCCTTAAGCATATATTCAGAAAACTCCTCAAAGGGACTTTGGTTTCTGTTTTGTTTTCTTTTATTTATTTGTTTGTTTTGTTGTTTATTTTTTTTTAATTTTGTTTTGTTTGTGTTGCTTTTTTTGGTACTGGGGATTAAACCCAGAAGTGCTTTACCATTGAGCCACATCCCTAGCCCTTTATACTTCTATTTTTGATTTTAAGACAGCGTCTTTCTAAGTTGCTTAGGGCCTCACTAAGTTGCTGAGGCTGATCTCAAACTTGGGATCCTTCTGCCTTACCTTCTTGAGCAGCTGAGGTTGCAGACATGTACTACCACACCCAACTGGGACCTTGATCATAGAAGGTGATATTTAAAGTTCAACATTGTTTTCTGGCTTTAAATGCTTATTTTGGTCTCCTTCCCTATTGCAGCAAAGAAACTTGACTAATAGGTTCTGAGTTCCTCTTTCTTTCCCTGGCCTTTTATAACTGACCACCCACTTTGCTTCCTTTTTCAGGGCTGCTGCATTTCTAGATTGACTTTTCACACTATCTTATGCTGTGATTATGTGAACCACGTAAAGACAGGCCACATCTGATGGTTTCCTCTTAGTCTACTGCCAACACTGTGTCTGGCTCTAAATAAAATGAGGTTACAAATGTGTAGAATGGTTAATATCATATTGCAGCTCTTTCTGTACATATAGTGATATGTTCTAATATAGTAATCGTGTCTTTTAATTTTCTGCACTTGCTAATGTTTAGATATCTGGAACTTTGCTGAGCATGGAACAATGGGCTGTATCATCCCTACCCAATTTCTAGAAATAAGAAAGGACTTGTCTATAAGCATGACTTTCCTATGCAAACCAACCAACCCAGAGCCAAAATTCTGGTCCCCTCCTTTATTGGGTTTTCAAAGAACCCTTGTATTTGACCAGTATCTCACTGTCTTAATCACCTCAGGACCAGCTACCAGGAAACAGGGGCAGCCCCTCTGTCCCAGAGGCTTTCAAAATTACCCAACCTACCCAATCATAATCTGCTTATCCTGTCTTGCCTTAAAAACCACATTGAAGATTCTTGTCCACATTTTCCCCTCATTTCTTCTACCTCCTGATGGACCTTGGTGGTTTCCAGCATGGCCTCTGCATGCTATGGTGTGCTCTCTCTTCTTGAAAATTATAAGCAAGAGCTCTCTTCTCATCAGCACTCATCTCCTGACCTGCTAGCCTCTCCATATGTGAATATCAAAAAACATCCATTTCAAACAACCATGAAATAACAGGGCCAAGGCACCATATTAACCCAGTCAATGGGTTTTATAGTTCTACTCCATTGTATAGTTCTACCCCTTTATGTTGTGCCAACAATGTGGTTGGTAGGCTCTATGTCTTGAATTAAATTTGAGTTTTCTTTTATTGGAAATTAAAACATGACCTTAAAAAAATCATTTTGGGCTTCCATTTCCAGTCGAAAACTGTCTACATTTCCAGTGAGGATGGTCCTAGGCAAGTTCTCACTTGTGAGATTTAGTATAGTTTTGCATATGTCACCCCCAACCCTCGCCCCCAACACACACCTCTTGGGGTTACTGGGAATGATTTTTTTTCCCATGTAAGGTCCCTGATACAAAAACCAATTAATATTTTTGAGTTGAAGTCTTAAGTTTTTTCTCCTCCCTTTTTTTTTTCAATCAGCCCCCATGTCATGATCTTCCTCAGAATCCTAGTTTCTGACAATACAAGTGGAAATAACTGGTTGAATGGAAATAGCACAGGAGGGACGATGCTAATTCCTTACTTGGCTCTTGCTACCTTTTCCTTTGTTACAATAAAGACAGCCAGGTCTGATGGACAAGAGAGAAGGCTGTGATATGAGACTTTCTGTGTTCCTAGATCTGTATGAACCTCACTGAGATGGAATTGGGAAAGTTATTTTAAGTCTCTATACTTCACTCTTCCCGTCATGAAAGGGCCATAACTGAATCCACTCAAAAGCCTTTCATTAAGAAAGTTATTGCTTTGTAATAAGCAACATGCTATAAATATTTATTACATGTTAAAAATAAGGTGATAGGGTCCTCAGATCCCTCTTCTTCTGTAAAATAGAAGCAATAGCATCATCTCTTATTCAACATTGTATTAAGGAATAACTGCTGTGATCAGGAATACGCTGTCATTAAAACACAGGCAAATGTGACATTATTATTACTCCTTTTTCCCAGGACTTAGTTTTATTTTCTGCTTCCTGCCTGTTTCAAGGTCTCTGTGCCATTGCAATTAATGAGATTTCCTATAAATCAGTCATAAGTAATGATTCATGAATTACAGCCGGTTCAAAGCCAATTTGTAACTTACAGCAACTAACACTTGGTACATTGCACTGAATCAAATAAACTACTATCAACAAAAGGTTTTCTACTTTAAAATCTAAATTATGTTACTTTACATCAAAAGCCATGCTTCAACCTCTCTTTCATAAGATGTTTTTATCACATCAAAAGGAAATCAATTTAAAGGTATGCACTATCCATTATGATGCCATCTAACAGCATTTACTTACAAATAGATTTGTGTGGGTTTTGAATTAAACCATGATACTTTTAGCCCTGTCCCAGAGGAGATCTTGACTCTGTCAATAGACCTTTCTTCCTTCCCTGTCCATGCTTCAGTGCACTGATAGCCTAGCGAGAGGCGTGGAGAGAACTGCATGAGGAAGTTAGCTAATGGAGATGCTTTATTTAGCTCAGGATTGTTGCTGACTTGGCATAGGCTGTGTATAGACATTAGAATTAGTTTCAAAGAGAGGTGAGATCAAACAAATTCAGCTAATCCCAACCACCTCCTTCCCCACACT